CTTAGTGACTCATCTCTGTTCCTGTGAAGGTTTGCTAGATTCCGTACTGAACCACTGGCTTTGTGTTTTAACAGATGTAGGATGTAGGAGAGAAGATAGTGGTAGCGGTGCTGCAGGAAGGCTGCCTTCCTCCCAGTATAATCCTCCCTCGCCACCACCTCCAACGGCAACTAGTCTTCAGATGGAAGATATGGTGAGTAGGGGGCTAGACTACATGAGTTTCCCTAGGAATGAAAACTCACTGTCTGCACTGGTGCTTCTTAAACATAAATGCAAGAGCCTGTCAATTGAAAGAACTAAAACACAATCTGAGATTTAAAATGAAGCCCCCAAGGACTTGCAGAGTCTGCTGGCTGTGGCATGGATTGTGGGACTTGCAGTGCTTTCAGTAAGCTCTGTTTTCTCTTGTAATGAAAAAAATCATTAAACTAATGAAGCCAAGATGCCCATTACAAGCAGAGTTTGCCTTCTAATGATCTTTCTAGGGAAAAAAAAAAGCCTCAAGAGTTGTTTGTAGAGGGCCTGAATTTATTTATTTATTTTTTTTTTTAAAGTGGGAATTACCTTGACTTCAAGCTTCTTTTCAAAAATGTAACTGTATAGACAGTGTTGGAATTCAGCTTATTGTCTTGTCAGCTCAGCCAGGTCATTATCCATCACTGTAAAACAATTTTATGCTACAGAACAGGAGAGAAGAAGAAATGCTTTCCTTTCCTGCTAGGTTTTTATTCCAACAGTATCACATTTTACTTGGTTTGTATTGTGTTTGACATGTTTTAAGTAAGCTAGATAACAAACAGTTTTAAGATCTGTAAGGATGTAAAATTTAGGAGGGTAATTGAAATAATCAAAGGATTGACTAATTAAACAATAAAACTGTATTTTCTAAAAAGTTACTTTTTGTAAACTGATTCACTTACAGTTTTCTACCCACCTGGGCCATGCCATCACTTCTCAGACCAGGCTAGATTCTGATTCTCCAGTAATCATCACTAGCACAACTGCAGGATCTGGTCTGTCATCAACTCAAAAGCTGGTAACATCCTAAAATCCACTTCTTAAATTAAGACATAATTATAGTTGTTAGTTTAGATATCTTTTCCCATTCTTTTTCAAAGCAACACTCAATATTTGAGGAAACTGCTCTAGAGTTTACATAGAGGAGTGAAAAGAGAACCTGGACAATGCTCACTTATGTTAAAGGCCCTTTATGTTAATTACAGTTTAAAATATTTGGGGGAGGAGGGACAAAATATGACTAAATAAAATGAAGATTAGGAAAGTGTGCACAACAATATCACTATTTCACATGATCTCATTTGCTTTGTTATCCTGCTGTTTGCAATGGCTCTTCCCTCCCTCCCTCCCTCCCTCTGTTTTTAAACTGTCATTTTTACCTCTCTCCACTGCTGTCAGCATTGCTGTGCTTTCCTTTACCCCTTTGATACAGTTGGTTACGCTAATCAGAGAAAGACACAGCACTTTGTTGCACGGAGGCCTTTCTGTATCTGCTGTGTCACTGTTAGAGCAAAGTGCCAGGGCTGCAGCTGCCTGCAGCTCCCCCGGGTTCTGCAGCCAGTGCTCCAAGCTCCAAGCAGCCCTTCCCCATAAGGCACTTGCACTAAACACTCTCTTCAAGTGCAAAAAGGAGAGAACAAACCAGGTTCAGCTAGGTAATAAATTCAGTCCCATAGACTAGAACCGGATTATCAACAGTGTTCACGTTCTATTTGGGCATGTGGTTAATATATGTAAGTAGCTATGCAGTAGTGTAGATCTTAGGTGTAGAATTTTTGCCAGCTAACATCTAGTTTATTTGTAGCCCATGGCGAAAGTAATAGCATCTGCTCAACAGAAAGCAGGAAGAACAATCACTGCTCGAATCACCGGCCGAGCCGATATGGGACAGAAACCCAGAATTTGTAGTAGTTTAGCAGTGATGGGAGTTGTTCCACCCATGAGTTCAGTCATTGTTGAAAAACATCATCCAGTCACTCAGGTAAGTCAGAATTAGGCTTACAACACTTCTCTTGCAGGAATATTTTATAGTGGCAGTATTTTAAAAATGATCACAATTAAGAAAGACTTAGTTAAGCTCAGATTTGAGTCCTGTTTTACAGTAGTAAGCACTACTTGCCTTTCCCTGTGTAGAAGTTAGAGAGCACATTTGTGAGGAGAGCAAGTAAACATTGCAACTTTAATCTGTCTTCTGTAGTAATTATTTCAGAGGTCTCTTGTGAGCCTGCTTCTTCATGGAAGTGGTCACTTGACACTGCAGTGTTTGCTCTCATCACCAAAGAGCAACTTAGACTTTGAAGACAAGCTTCACCAGGGGGAGGGAGAGGCGTGAATGAACCAGAGGCACAGGTCAGAGTGACAGACTGAGGAGAGGGAATTTACTGGAAGAAATTAAGACGTGGGTCCAGAGGAAACCAAAATTCAAGCTGGGTTTCTTTTTTTCCTTCTTCCTTATTCTCTGCAGAAAAGACTAAGGTAAGTGCATTAGCAGGGTATGGAAACACCATACGAGAAGACTATGAACAGTGGCCAAAAGGGCTTATGTAGCCACTGCACTTTTAATTTTTAATGACCAAAACATGACTTAATTGAAAGCATACTTTACCCTGTAACATAATATGCGAGTCTTCTGCATGCCACTGAACAGTTCAACTTTTCCTGAGTGACTGCCAGAAGAAACAGGGGTACTCACATCCCGTCCTTTGAGCTGATGGAGTTGTTGGCATCTGTTCCTGAGAGACCTCCTGCTTTCAGCCATGTTACACTCTCAGCAGTGTATAAACCATGTATTCTTTTTGTAAATAAATACCTGCTTGAAATTGAATCAGATGGAAGTATTTCTTGCAGAGTAAGCTGACAGTGGAGAGAGCTCACCTTGATTAAAAGCGGAATGACTGCTGTTTCTTACAGTAACCATGCTAGGTGTTTCCCTCCTGTCAAAGAAATGCAAACCTATTCCTGGCAGAGACCAGTTAACCTTTCCTTTAACAAGCACTCAACTTAAAGGAATGTTGGCGTGATTAAATCAGCACTAAGGAAAAAATGCAAACAGGTTAGAGGTCCCTTCCAACCTTGACCATTCTGTGATTCTGTGAATCTGAAATGAGACTGAGGGGATACGAACTCAGGATATCTGGTTAATCTTTAAGTCCAGCACTTTGTAATAGATAATTCTAGGAATGCTAAATACATAGGAAGAAGAAAAAAAATCTTTCATATCTTTTAAGTCACCATCTGATTTTTCTTGAGAAATATGTAATCACAAATCTCTGTTTAAACTACAGCTCATTTAGAGCTATCTATTTATTTATATTATATTTTGTCATATTACTTTTCAGCAAACCATCTCCCAAGCCATTGCAGCCAAATACCCGCGCACGGTGCTGCACGGGGCGGGCTCCAGCGCGGCGCGAGCGGCGGGGCGGCTGCTGCAGAGCCAGCCGCAGCCCGGCGTGCAGCCCATAAAGGTTGTGGACTGAGCGAAGAGCCAGCGCACACGGAGCTCGCACTGCTGGAGGGTTTGTACCAAGGAACAACTTAGAGCTCTTCCCACTGTTTTCAGACTTGACGTAGCAAGGCCTAAAGGATGCATCATGTTTTTACTTTTTTTTTTTTTTTTGATTTTGTACAATTGCTTATAGTAAGCATGTGGAGGGGGGCGGAATGACCTTGAAACATTGTTCTACCTCCAAACTTTTTGAGAATGTATTTTATTAAGAGTAACACTTTATTTAACAAATCTGTTGAACACTTTTAAATAAAGGATCAATTGTGACATTTTTCTCCGTCTCCTTTAACATGAAAATCTGATTTATTGTAGTTACCTGTGCTCTTAAAAGATCCTTTTATACCTTAAGACCCAACTCCTCCCTCATACTTAATGAAGAATTACAGGGCATAACCTCCACAACCAGTACGTGAGTTCATCTGGGTGAGTTACCTAATTCAAATCACAGAGCCTTGTCATTTTTCAAGCTACAACTGTGGAAGTGATGCTTACCTGTTGTGGACCTGACTTTGTGATTTATTTAGATTCCTATTTTCAAGACCTGTTCCAGACCTGTTCTCGACTCTCTTGTAGATCTCTACAACCCCATCAAACACCCTGCACACAGGAGGACAGAGTTAAGCTCCAGACTTCAAAACAAGTATAAAGGCTGGAAGAATTAAAATATTACAGTGTCTGACTGTACCCAGCTACACTTGTTTTGTTATTAAAGGAGACCAGGAAGATGAATATCTAACTTCTTAGATGCAAAATATTTTCAATAATCTCAGCAGAAAACCATGTCTGACATTACCAAATATTATTCAAGATATGAACAAGAACTAGGTAGACATGAATATATATTAAAATACCAAATTTCCTCAAGGAAATGTCATGACAAGGCTCTGTCATGAGTGGACAAGTTCAGGCACAGATGGTTATAGACATGGCTTTTGGGTATATTTTCACTACATAAACCAAATGTTCAGGAAGCTGCATTTGTTCCAGCTTCTAGCACTAACCCAGAGAAAAGCCCTCTTCAGACAGTAATCCTAGCAAGAGACTGTATAAAAACCTGAATCCCAAATGAGACCAGATGCCAACCTATTTCTGGAGCTGTTGATTCATACACATAATTTTCACTTATTAAATTTAATTTCTTGCAGCCAGAAAACATCTCATATTTCATGTCAAACAAAATAGCTTAATTGTGCAGTTCCAACATGGAATTACCATATCAATGTTGTCAGCTACAGGAGTTTAGAGGGAGGGAGGAAAGAAGGGAACATGAGAGAAGGGGCCTCTTAACAGTGCAGTCACCAGCTCTTAAAGGCTACAACTTACTGTAGGGCAAATCCTGAGACATGCAACTAACCAGCATTCCAGGGGTGCTTCAAAACTTCAAAATAGTGTTGTAGTTTCCCCCAAAAGAAGTCAAAAGCCACTTTCCATCTGGCATTTAATTCATCACAGATACCATGTTCCCTTGGGAAACTCATGAAATTGCACATTTTCTGGACTCCTGGTGAGTGCTGCTTTCAGCTCGCATCTTTTCTGTAAACAAGAGGAGGGAACACTGCTTGGAGGCACTGCTCTTTACACCGTCAGCACTCGCTGAACCGAAGGAGGCCCGAGGTCCCCTTTCAAGCATGGTGGCAGGACAAAGGAGGAAGGAAGAGGGTATTTTTTTCCTTCAGAAAAGCCAATGACTTGAACTCTCTTCTTCAACCCGAAGGCGGGTGAAACTGCCCTGGCTGCACATCATCCCCAGCCCGCAGGAAGCCCAAGCCCTGCACTGTATTTATGCACAGGACACGGCCGTGGGCTGTCTACAGCACGAAGCTACTTACCTGCTAAATGCTGGAATCCTGCTTCCATTAGGTCTTCATAGATATGTTTGACAGGATTCTGATGAGCCAGCAATATGCCATGCAGCCAGATGAGCAGCATTCTGTGCCCATGTTCCTTGTAACTACTTCTTCCTGTGTAATACACAAAGCATGTTCCTGTTCCTTATGCTGGAAACACTGTATTTTGTGCTTTTGGACTGCTAAAGCTCCATGGGGCTTTAAAGCCTCCTCATTTGCTCTTATTTTCTTTCTCACTGAGAAGCAAAATGAAGATTGAGACTTACAAAGGTTAAAAAAAAAAAAAAAAAAAAAAAAGGAGTAGTAAGTAAAAACAAATCAATGCATCTTAAAACTCATTTCCTCCCTTTACTCCTTTTTAGCCTCTTTGCCATATTGCCTAGAGAACAGTGAGTGAGTGCAGTGTGTGCTGCAGAAATACCCATCTCCGACCACTAGTGCTCTCTGAAAAGAGAGGCTGCTGTGAGAGGGGAGCAAGAAGGTCCTCGCTGTCCCCCTGCTGCCTGGGGCTGCCCCTGCAGCAGCCCTGCGCTGCAAGACCCCCCAGCTGCCCTGGGCTCCCAATTCGGCTTCCTGAAGGTCAAGGTTTCTTCAGCTGGAGAGGGAGAGCTCAAGCTGTAACTCTGCAGCAGAATCGGCCGGGATGCAGAACCACAGAACGCCATCTGTTCACCTCAGGTTTTAATACCACTGCTCATTTTCACACACTAATTGGAAATTAAAACAGCAAAAACACTTCTGGGATAGTCTCATGGTTTAAAAAGCAATTATGTGCCCTCTTGTGATCTGTATTATTTACATACTACATCTAGACCTTCAGATAATTGTTACCTGTCCATTGTTCTTCAATAGCTTTAATTTGTTCCTCTGTGAACTTCCAGAACAGAGCCAGCTTTTTCCATTCCTGGGGTTTTAACTGTTTGTAGGCTAGATTCCAAAGGGAAGAACGGATTTGCTTGGTTTGCAGACTGTGATCTTGTTTGAAAGACAAAACAAAATCTGACTCAGCATCATCATGATCTGGGTGTTCCTAAAAAGGAGAGCAGATGATCAATTTTGTATGTAAGGTAGGAACACATTTTTTCTTTGCCTGAAATGAACAGGGTGGTCTATGCAGTCGTATGTGTTTGCTGACATGCAGTTTGCTCAGTGCAGCGCTCAGTGCTTCCCTTCTGGGTCTGAAAAAGAAACAGGATCTCTCTCCTCCCCTGGCAGCACAACTTCCCTTGGCTGCTGTGTGTCCTGCCCTAGACATACAAAAACAGCAACCCTCAAATCCAGTCAAAAACAGCCTTGGCAAGCGTGGGGAAGGGATGGGCAGAAGCAATAAATAGAACTAAAAAGGAAAAGCAGAGAACTAGATGGTCTTTCCCATAAATCTGTGTTGTGTGCACTTCCTCACAGCAACGTGACATTTATTTTTTAACAGATGACTTGTCACAGATAATAAATAAAAATAATAAAAAGACAGTTCTTACAATAATAGTTCAATAGTTTGATGCATAACAACTCTACTTGAACAACTTTATACTCCCTATCTGTAACATTCAAACTGCTCCCAAAAGCTGCATGCTCAGTTTCGGGTAATGGGATACAAACACTTTTCCTTGCATTTCCCAACATGTGTGGAGCTCTTGAAGAAAGCCACCTGTTCAGCCACCCCTCCTCCTCCTGGGGCAGCTCAGCATACAGCACCAACAGCTCAGCAGCATCACTTGCTCGCTGTCCTCACACCCGTCAGGGTCTTCCTTGGCCTCAAACCATTTCACTTCTAATCGGCCTTGGAGATGAAAGCGACAATAGCGTACCTGTCAGCCCGGAACTGAGACAAGTTGGCTGTGCACAACACAGGCACTTCATGGTTGTGTTTTTCATTAGAATTCATCTAGATGTGGGATTTTCCAGCACATTTCCGCGTGCTATTAAGAATCGTGGAAATGGACGGGTAGGGCTGGAGGGGAGGCCAAAGGCCAGTGCGCCCACGTGCCCGCACACAGGCAGGACCGCGGACGCCTGTAGCGCCCCAGGAGGTGCTCGCCCCACCTGGGCAAACCAACCCACAGCAGAACGCAGGAAGGAGGATGAGGTTATAGGCTTAAATAGCAGCTTAGCAAGGAGAAAGAGCAGCAAGATGGTTCTCAAGTTAGGCTTGGAAACAGAGTCAATCAAGTTCTTGTCACCAGTTTGCAAGTTAAACAGCTGTGGTACCTCCATTCCCGCAGATTTTATGGTGAATGCAACAAAACAGACAATCTCCACTCCCTCGCTAGCGCCAAGCACAAAAGCTATTGTGACAGCTTGGGGACTTCGGGTTGCATTATGTCAAAGCCCTACACACTTAATCAACTCCTAGAGCTTGCACAAAACTGTGTCTCCAAACAGGAAGAACTGAGCAGCCCAATACAAGACTGAATCATTTATGGAGTATTAATAAGTCCTAAAATTAGCCTTCACCATCCTTTGAAATACTTCCCTTTCATCTTAGCGGGGAGGTAGCTATAGCAGGTTCTTTGTGCTTCATTGCTAACATCATCAGAACAGACGCTTTCGCAGAATTTTAAATGGCCCCAATGAAGATCCTGTGCCATCACTAAGCAGCCTATATTAAAAAAAAAAAAAAAAATGTGGCAGCCAGGAAAACAAGCTTCAGAATTCGGGCAACCGAGGCCAATCCAAGCAGCGTCCTTACTTCATGTGGTTGCCTTGGAAGATGGCTCTTCCCCATCTTTTTCCCGAGTTTTGTAATTAAATGTATGGAACACCAGAGGGAGCGCTCACTGCAGGAGCTGGGCTCGCAACTCCCAGCCTTGCATTTCTGCCCAGGGAAGGACACGCTGTTTTTCTAAAGCCACGGATTTTGCTGTACCAAAGGACATGTGGGTCAGTGTGGGCTGACATGTGGGTCACATCATCCAGACTCTGATGTTCATATCACAGTCTGAACTTGGTCATCACAAAACATCTCCACCCTTTCTTCTGTTTAGTGAGTGTTGCTGGATAGTGATTCTCTCTCAAATCTTAACTAGTCAGGATCAAAACCTGTCCTAATCCCATTTTATCAAGGCTAGTGCTGGGAGGAGGAAACGATCTCAGGCTAAAGGCACTAAGCTTAGGATCAGCCTTTCCTTCATGGTTTCCTTCAGGGTGGTGCAACACGTCTCTTACCTGTTTTCTAGCGTAATATCTTTCTGCTTTGATGATCATATCTACGATGAGGGCATTATTGCTCCTTGATGCCACAGCTAGTGCAGTTTTTCCATGCTTGAAAGTAGAGAGAGTCATAACATGATCACACATATATACAATCATATATCACATACATATCAAATATAGCTCAGCTGACCCCCCTGCTCTGGTTAAACTGGCACTTGGGATGGGTGGTGGGATAAAGTTGCTAAACTCGCAAGGATAATCCCAAGCCTTGTTCTAGAGCGAGAGGGAAGCTGGGTCTCACAACAGGACTGAGCAGGACTTTATCAGGACAACTGAAGAGAATGTTTTGAGGGAGGTCCAGACAATTAAAGGAATCAAAAGCCCTTTCTTTAATTCCTGTTACAAGGGACTGTTCAGTTCATCTGAACTAATCTCTGTTGCCAGCACTTTCACATAAAGGCATTTTATTGACTTTATAGAGTCCTCTCTGTAATCTTCCACTGAGTGAATGTCCACTACGGATCTAGGACATTTTTTTTTATGCATCAAGAGCTGTGCATTCTAGAAAATTAAGCCTAAAAGAAGACAAACCCTCAAATTTAGAAGGCTCAGTATTTGAATTAAGGTATTTCAACTCCCCAGCTATTATGAAGTTCCCTGATGCACACCTTCGGTGATCTAGCTCCCAGCTCTCTTCAAAATCATCCTAATTCTCCAATTTTATCACACTGAGAGGCAAAGACTTTACATTTCACAGAGTCTCTATTGCACAGAAGTGGCTAACATGAGCAGACAGCACAGAGTGAGGGCGCTCCCCAGGGGCACCCCTGAAAAGGCGCTCTGGACTAAGATAAATAAATAAATACCACCACCAAAAAAAAATAAAGAGACTCCACCCACAGTCACTGCTCTCTCCTTACACAGGCCCCTCCCCAGAGGCTTCTTGCTTTGATACTTCTTCCCGTCACTACCACTCTTACCTAGGTCTTTCCTGCCTGGCCTTTCAGCAACAGAGGCTGCAGGGCCCAAGCACCACCTGGACGCATCTTGGAGGGTTTCTCAGGGACGCCAGGCCCAACCAACTCGAGATGCCCCCTGTACAAAAGGGCAAACTGCCCTCGCTGCAGGTGGGGCAGTCTGAACCGTCTGCACCTCTGCTCACATCAAACTTGACCACGGCTGGGTGAGCAGCTGTGAAGGCTGCACCCACTCATGCTCTGTGACACCTACCTGTCCTTCCCAACTCCAAGGTCTGACTGTGGTGCTTGTCCTTCCGACTAAGGAGGTTAAAGGTTTTACACTAAGCACACTGGCTTTCACCACATCTGACTGCAGAAATAGCTCAATTTCAGACCTCTGCAAGTTGCAGGCAAGGCAAAACTAGAGCAGAACTTCTGCTGCAACAAGCTCATGTTAAAAGGAACTCACATCCTTTGCAAATAATATCACTTGGCCGCATTCCTGTTACTGAGGATGGCTGGAAACATGACTCCCTGCCTCTCCTGGAAGATGATGAACACAACAAGACACAATGCTGCCCTGCGGGAGGGCTGCATGCACTGTACCTTATCCGAGGTCTGCAGGTCACAGCCGGCCTTCAGCAGCAGCTCCACCAGCTCCACGTTGCCGAGATCAGCCGCCAGATGTAAAGGGGTTTCCTGCCTCTGGAATGAGTAACACCAAGCAGATACAACATGCCAAGCTCCCCCCTCTGAATGGAAACGCTTACAGTTCAAATAAGAATCACAACAAGAGACGGTCTTGGCTACAAAACACCACGCAGAATGAAAGCATTAACTTTTGAATGAGCTGGCTGCCAACCTGGTTTGAGGCAAACATGAGAGCAGCTGGGATCTCGACAGAAAAAATGCTCACGAGTTCCAGATGGCTCAGGAAAAGGCCAGTATCATTCCCCTCTAATGTATTATAATGTAACAAATTCTCTCTATGCGCTTAAAACAAGATGTTTGGGGCAGAGTGCTTCGTGTGACTCCATACTGGGTTCAGGGAACCACAAACAAAAGCACTGACCAAAACCAAACCATTAACAAAGCTCACAATAATAAAGATATTCTGCCTCAAGTCCAAAGTTTAGGTCCAAAATGAGGTTCTGTAGTCTCATTACTGCTCCATTTACCTATATAAAATCTAATTATTTATTCTTCTACAAAAATATCTTCAGGAAACACAGTTCTACCACCAAACAGCAGGGAGGCTCAGCAGTCTAATGGCTAGAGCAGATACATATTCCTGCCACAAAACAGCATTTGCTTTTTATTCTTTCCTTTACAATTATCAGTTATAGGAAAGTATTCCAGACTTTTGTGGATATAATGTAGCAGCAAATAAAATACAACATTTACGGAAATCTTGGATATTTGGAAATGTCCCATAGTATATTTCATACGACACAGAAACCTCTGAATTTTAAGTTTTTGTGTCTATGAGCTTCTAATGAAGCAAGTCTGTGATGTGCAGATGTGGCTAGAGCACTTTTTAGGACCTTATGAAACTACTGAAGTCATGTTTGAACTTAAGTGGAGTTCAACATATCCTTACACACCAAGAAACATCGGCCTCAGGCTTCCAGCTCTAGCCTTACCCAAGCTCTTTTGGGAACACACACTGATAGCACCATCTCAGATTTCCTCCAACAAAACATCCTCCTTGTTGCTTCAGTAATTTAGAGATGTATATGTATCCATTGTGTGCTATTCAATGTTCCATGTTTATACGGGAAGCCTTAATTTTTCTTTCAATGTACTCATTTCTTTAAAAAATTTTTTAAAAAATCAAGGAGAATCTCTCTAATTATATGGCCAGACTTGCTCAGAGTTGCCATCCTAAATTAATCAAACCTTCATGTATTTTTTTGAAGGGGAAAAGCTTGAGGTTAAGGGAGCCTGTGACCAGACCCTTCTCTCCCTGTATATTTCAGAAAGTTTATCCTGATAGAGTTTGTGAGCTAAAACCAGGCAAATGGCTTTCTGCACCGACTTTTGCTCTAAGATCTGGGACATTTTTGTCATTTATTATTCATAAATCATAACAAAGAGGAATGTAATAAGAAATCTGGATATATAGCATTTTGTTATCCATATCTTGCACAAACAGTACAAGCAGCACAGCGTGTACCAGCAACTAACACGCATGAGAAGATAAGGAGGGAGGGAACTCCCTCCTATTTATTGTACTTGAGACTATACAGAGAGAAGAAAAGAATACAAAAAGAAAGAGAAACAACAATTTCTACTTCATCTAAATCTAAACAATCTCTTCCTTTTCGGAAAAGCTACATTGCTTTCTACTTTTTCTTACGTGATTCAGGGAGTTTATATCATGATTGGCACCCAAGAGACTTTTTACTACAGTTAGATGATTATTGATGACTGCTAAATGGAGAGGAGTATTCTTCTGCTGTGGAGAAAAAAGAAACAAACTATTATACTAGAATATTTCCATTAAAAGCTATATTCAAATAAAAAAAAAAAAGGTGCACCCCGCAAAGAGGGCTCCAGCAGAGATCAAAGCTGCAGAAAACACAACTGCAGCTCCTGAGTTCTGCTCAGGGACAAGAACCATGACTTGCCCCATGCAACATCTACAGCAGCTTGTAAACAAGTACATTTGGGAAATCTCTAATTCCTCTCTGCGTGGGGCTTAGCAGTAAGTGTGCTAGTGCTCACACACTGTCAGCAGGGCACTTATCTTAATTTATCAGTACATGGCAGGTGCTGCTATTTTCTGGTTCAAAATCTTTTCACAGAAAAGACTTGAAGGCAGCATTTATTTTCTCTCAGAAAACTTGGTTTGCACGGTTTGAACAGGCTGGAGACAGCACAATTCTAAACTAGGTAGACAACTATCAAAATCTAATTTCCAGGAATAAACTCTTGTAGCACATTGCTTCTTTAATATTCCTGGTAATTATTACTAGAAAGAAACTAAGTCTTGTTATTTGAGTGCTTATTCATGAAAATAACTCTGGCATATGGCCAGTCACAATGCATTCCTTAGATTGGCAAGATCAATTTGCATGTTGAACCCTGTGATTCATCACTTTGTTAAATACAGATTTAAAAATCCATAGCAGTGCCAGTCACTAATACCAGAGACCTACTAATTAGTGTCTTCATAAACCACAGCCTTTTCTTCAGGGCTATAGGGAAATAATAAAGCTCTTGCACAACACTGTACGGGAAGTGTTTCCAACTCTTATGTTACAGCTTTAAGAGTCACTTCTGCTACAAAATGTTAATGCAGACAAGCAGCACAACCACCAACTGATCCTCAAAATAAACCATTTCAAAGACATTACAAATCAGTCTTCCTTGACAACATTAAATGAAATTCAAGTGATTATGGCAAGAAAATCGTGAAGTCTAGATTTCTATTTTCATCCTGAATTGCAAAAGTGTAAAATATTTTCCTATTCACAGGAAATCCCAAATGTAATAACTGCTCTATCTGAAGTGAGGCAAGATTTGAACAGCAAGAATACTTTTAAAAGAAAACCAATCCGGCCACCTCTACACATCAGTGTTTTAGTCTGCACATCAGCAAAAAGGTTACTTTAATATATGCTCACCTCTGGTTTGGGAACAAGGTCAATATTCTTATCAAGAAGAAATGAGACCAAGGATAGATGTCCATTCTGGATGGCAATTTGTAGAGCATTGGTATTGTTCTGAAATAAACATTATAACAGCAAAAGCTTGGTTTTGCTCCCAGGAAAAAAAAAAGAAAAAAAGAAAAAAAAAAGAATAAAGTTAACGTTAAATACTACTATCCATATGGAATAATCTTTCATTTAAATACGTGTTATTTTTCAAGAAAAGGTCCTCTTTTCAAAAAGTTATAAAGTTAAGTAGGACACCAGTTAGTATGATGTGTTTTTGTAAATATTAATGGAATTTTACATTGCTACTGTATTTCAGCAAGCACGCTATATTTCACCAGCACTCTATAGTCCTTTTCAATTTCTCTTAAGGAAGAGATAAAACAGGTTTATCAGCTCTCGTGTATCACAGATAAGTCCAATATATTTCCTGGTCTTTCAGTGTGACCTTTAACAAGCAATTACCTTCACACTGACATTTTTTTTTAAATTCAGAGAAAAGTTTCTCTTAATACTCGGCTAAATGAAACAAGCTCTCAGTCTCTGGGAACCAAATTCTTGGAAATTCTTGCAAAAGGCAAACCAAGGCTGTTAAAGAAATTTGAGTTTTACTGGAATTGAGGAACCAGATGATAAAAACAGGTTTATCAGCAGCTCGGTCATGCACACTGCCCAAATTGAGGTCTTTCAATTACCCCATAGGCAGTTACATTTCCTAGCCATATTATTTTACTGCTGGATAAACAGTAAAGGCTGAAGCCCATTAAAATATTGTATCAAAAAAGTCTATGCTGCACTTTTTTCAGCATAAATTTTGTGTTCTTAATGTGCTCCACATTTCCATTTATATTTGAATAAAATGTTTATCTTTTACTGTTTCATAGAAACAAGCAGAACAAATATATTGTTAGTTCAGGAAGGAGAGAGGATAGGACCCTTCCCACAGCCTACACGTCCCAGCAGCGTTTACGTACTTGGGTTAGAAGGTTGATGTCACTCCCTGCTTCCAGCAAGAGTTCAGCACATTTTTCATGACCTCCTTCAACAGACAAATAAAATGGAGTTTCTCCATTCTAAATAACAGAGAGAGAGAGAAGTTCTCTGCTCCAATTTAAGCTAGATATAACCAATTTTTAAAGTTTTCCACAGAACAGATTAATCAGACTCATCCAGATTAACAGAAAAGGACAGAGAGAAGAAGAGAGCATCACCTCAAAGCTCCTGTGAACACATAAGTGAAATGACAACTCCACCTCCCACCCTTAGAGTGGATGTCACTTATGTCTGTTAAAATGTACAAATAACTATTTCATATATTTCTCTTCATTGTTTTGAAAGGACAGCACAGTCAGCACGCAAGGAAACAAGGATGATGGACAGAAATTGCTGCTATGTGGCACAAGGCCACAACACTATCACGCCAGCACACGCAGCAAGGCCAGGTTCTGTCAGCCCAATACCAAGGACTTGGGGTGTATTCTCACTTCTAACCCCAGTTCAAAGGAGCAGTGATCCTGGCATGTGCTTTTCTAAAGCTTCCCATCTCCCCCAAATCTCCACGTCTCCAAAGTAAGTCTCTAAGATCAGTTACATGAGTTGCACAATGACCTAACCCCTACATGCAAAATATTATAATACACAAAGGTTTATTTAAAGCCACTCCAGTGTTTCAGCATTCCATGAAACAGTAAGAATTCTGTATTTTTCTCTGCCTGAAATTCTGCCACTATTATTCTGTTTAACATATTCTGGTATGTTGCCAGTGCTGAGGTGAGAGCACTCTGCTTATTCAGAGAGGAACATCTCCAGCTGGGACTTCTCAGCCATGACAGAGCCGGGCCAGCAGTAGTGCAAGCTCCATGTGCACAATAAATACTTGTCTTGGGCAAATTTTGGAAACACAAGTGCTTCATACCTGCCCACTAGGAATTGAAGTAACTGGCCGAATGCATTCCAGCTGCCCCATAAAAGGAGCAGAAGGGAAAGTTCCTTTTGCAAACCTGTGATTATGTCATTAGACTTAAGCGTGTGCTCCCCTGTCCTTCACACCTATTTTATATCTTAAAATAAGGCATGATTTACAGATGTGCTCACGAGTGCAGCAATTCAGAGATACAAGCTTCCAGTTAGCATGCACTTTATGAATACACTGGCTGAACTCATCAATACAAACCCTGGAAAAGATGAATGCGTTTAGTGGAGCCAAGTGAGACCAGATCGTATGGCCAGAGATCACAGACCGAAACGTAGGAGCGCTGGGAACTTGCTCTTCAGTGCATACTGAAGAGTTTTGCTTGGCTTGCAAACTTACACACCAGCACATAGCCTTCCTGTATCATGGAAACACCACTTAGCTGGCAACCAGCTGCATTAGCTCTGCCTTTCATCTACCAGTAGATAGGGGATGCAAAATGGAGAGGAAGCCACTCTGCACAGAATAAGGGACAGAGTAAGGAGCATTGAAGGAGTGAGTGGCGCTGAGTTCATTGGAGAAGGGACAAAGAATCAAAGAAAGGATACAAATTAAGTCTAGTTGGTGCGAGTTTGTTTTTTATTTAAAAATATATATTTTTCCACAAACTATCTCTTTCAGTAATTTCTCACCTGATTGAGGTCATTTATTTCTTCCCACTCTTTGAGCAGAATTTCTACAACTTGGCTGTGTCCATTTTTAGCTGCTAGATGCAATGCCGTATTTCCCTCCTTGAAATTAAAATGTCAGAGATTTAAGAACACAGATTAAAAAAGAAATATTAAGTAGAAAGAACAGCCTGTGCTAATGTGTATTATAAATACAAAACCTTTGGTATTTCCAAACCACACTCCTGCACACAAGGAGCAGTTCCACAGAATGTTCCAGCATTTGACTTTTTTTCTGCCTGTGTACCTGTGAAGAGACTCCTTTTCACAGGATGCTGGTACAAGGACAAATGTAATCCTGTCTAGAAACAAGCTGAAGTTGTTTCTTCAAGCTGTGAGAAGGATAACCCTTAGCAGCATTCCAGACTTAACAGTAGGGAGATGGAGGGGAAAAAAAAGCTTTGTAAAGTGATATACATACATACACACACACACACAATATATATACATACACAAACACAGTGTGACTGCAAATGGCGACCCAGGAGATGATCTCCTACCTGCTTATTCTGCTTCTGTGTTGCAGCCTTCTCCCCTCACAGCTGCTTTTACCTATTCAGCTGCTTATCTTTCTGGAACAATACTCTCTCTTCACCTCGGCTGATGAAGTGCTTAGAGAGCTTCATGCTGCATTGTAGTTTTTAAGGTATTACTAGGATACTAAAAGAAAATTATCTTTTCTTTGGAGCATAACTTACTGGATTCTTACATGCATGGTTCCATATTAATAATATCAAACCATTCCACAATTTTCAATGCATTTGTCCTTGCAATGCCTAGGATTTGGGAAACACTGACATCCTCACTCCATAAACAGCTAAATAGAGAATAAGGGCAGATTTTTAATAGTACGCAAACACCTTAAAATTCCATCACATGTAGGTGTTCAGACACTTCTGAAAAATCCCTAAGGGTTTATTTGTGTCTTAAAGTATTTTAAAAATCTTTTGGAGATTTTGTCATGCAGGTCTTTGCAGTGACACACAGACACATCTGAGCAGAATTAGAAGGCCACTTCTCCCAACAGACAGCTTACATTTGTACTGCTTTACGTTAACTATTAACACACATTAACACACTGGGAAAAGACTCCCAGTATCAAGGCCAGAAATTCTGCTATCCTGTATTAATTACTGAAAAATCATTATCTTTGTGTCATTATTGGTCCACCCAACATGTATCATATCAAATACACATTTAGCACTATATCTGCACATCTTATTCATATTGCTTGTTTACATACTAACCACCCTGAAACAAAGCAACTTTTCATAAGCACAACTGTACTTTACTTCTACCAAAAAGATGACGTTACCTTATCTTTTTCAGATGTAGACATCTTTAGACTAATCAAATCATTAATCATATCAGCATGGCCTTTTTCAGATGCCAGAAGAAATGGCCTTCTACCTTTCTAGAAAATAATCATGCAAAGAAAACAATATTATTGAAAGCAAAATATTCTGTTTCTACTTAATACATATATGACATATACAGACGCACATATATTCTGCATAAACACTTGTCTAAGTAAATCAATCAAAAACTAGACATTTACAACAACGTTCTGAATAAAAAAAGGCAAAATTTTCTTGGGGTAAAAACACAGATTATATACCTTGCATATCTTCAAGAAAATATTTGAACAATGACCATAAAAGTTAACAACTGATGCAAAGAATGTGCTCTAAACAGTGAGTTCTTAATTATTCTTGATATAGAACTATTCATCAGAAGAACTGTTCAATTTAAAAAAAAAATGAAATGCTCAGAAACAGGCACCAAAGTAGCTGAAAGAAGTATTTCTTTGGCATAACATATTGGATCAGAATTCTGCAACACAGTCCACGATTAGTATTTCTGAGAAGTTCCATCCAAGATGCCTGATTTTATTGCTCTATATTTGCTTTCTGTTGCTATAAAGCAACAAACATTGTTCTTCCTGGTTACTGTTTTAAGCAAAGAAATGTTCTCTAGACATAAAACAACATCACTGGTCAGACAGGCTACCTAACACCAAAGGCTACCCTATAGTGCCCTATGTCACTAAGAAAAAGTTCAAGAAATGCACTGATAGATAATTATAAAACAATCTCACCACAGAGAAGATTCCAAAACACAAAGTTTGAAGCACAAATTTCAGTTTTGTTGAATTAACTCAGCTTTGTTGGCCTTGGCTCGTGCAGAAAGCATTCCAGATTTTGCAGCATCAGGTCAAGACAATACAAAGCCCCAAAATATGACAGGGAGGTTTCTTATTGGGGGGGCAGATCCTATGTTTTTCCTGAGGTAGAAGTGAAATATCCTATTTGGGCAGGATATTTTAGGACAGGACATTTCAGGGTAGGAGAGGGAAGCTTTCAAAGAGAGCTCCCAAAGCAGTGATGTACAGAAATACAAACACAGCAGATCCAAGGAGGACAAGGCACTCACACTGCTCCGCTGCTCGTGCACTTTCCTCCACTCCTCACCACATAGGATGACTAGATGCAGGCCCATATCCTGCATTAGATGACATCAAAAAATAAGCAGGAAATAGCATACTGTACCCCATCAGGCTTGTTCAAGTCTTTCAGGTGAAGATCTTGGATAAAATAATCAACTATTTTAACACTGTTGTTCTGAGCTGCAAAATGCAGTACATTCCTTCCTTCCTAAAAAAGAAAAAAATATATGGCAACTCTGTAAGAACAAGCTTAATTCTGTTCAACAGAAACAGGTTTAGAGTTGAGTAAAATTTATCACCAACAAACCTCATTCTTAGCCTTTTGATCAGCACCTGCTTTAACTAATTTTCGCATAATATCCAGATTTCCAGACCAAGCTGCGAGATGAATCACCGTGAGGCCATGCTTCAAATAAAATGAAAAAGATATCAATTACTACCAAAATATCTGTCTTTTTTTCCCTCCCTCCAAAATCTTTGTGATTACTTCAGTGTATGAACAAGTTCTGCTCTGTAGGCATGAGAAAGTCAGTCAGTATTATCACCTGGCACAGTGATTGAGACTCATCTAAGTTAAATGCCTCACATCAAAGTTGAGCTGTACAGGATCATCCTCCTCTTAACAGGAAGGCATCTCCAGAGAAAGATGAATCCCATTCTAAGATAAGAATTTCTAGACAGAAAATTTCTTACTGTGGCTTACAAAACTATCCTGAAAAAAACTTTCAAACCAAAGTTTAATTTTTGAAGAGCTAGTTTTAAAGAGACTTCCAATTTCCGAAACAATCAAATCCTAGAATCAGTTGCCCAGAGAGGTTGTGCAGTCTCCATTCTTTGAGATGCTCAGATCAGACTGGGGAAGGTCCTGAGCAACCAGCTCTCAATGACAGTGCTCTGAGCAGGGGCCTTGGACTAAAGGAGCTCCAGAGGTGCCCTCCAACCTCAATGATAATGCGTGTAGGTCATTTATTCAGGAGAAATGTGGGTAGTGGAAAAGAAATAAAGGCATACTCGAGAAAAGAAATAAAAATAAGGAATAAGGTACAAAATCAACAGCAGAACAAAGAGCACGATGTTATGACAGGGATCTTTAAAGACTGTGGATGCCTCCAGATGGCGGTGAAGATACCTGCAGAGCCAAGGCCCCTAAGAGGGAACTCAGTTGGACACTGTTTGGACTCACCAACATGTTGGAAAGACTTGGAGTGGCAGGGTGATGTGAGAAAACATAAGCTTGTAAAGTCTTGCACCTGAATGTTTGGTGCAGCAGAATTGTAATTTACCAGTGCTTTATGTGTTCAGAAGTTTTGCTAACAGTAATATAATTGTAATCTAATTGTGTATCGATACTAACGCTAAACAATAATACAACACTAAACAAAGGAATTACAACTTAATCAATGCAACTGTAAGTCATAGTGAAATAACTGTGAATTAATACTAATTTTATTAGCCAGTTAATGTACAACCAGTTTTAGAGGTGTGCTAATAAACATCATAACTATATAAAGCTACCTTGACACTACACCATGCAAAAGATCCAAGAAGCCTCTCTCAACTGTTGCACTACTACTTGAAAAAATGTTAGTTTGTTACAGAACTACTCTATTTGCATTTCTATCACAGTCTATTAATTTCACAGTATTTAGTTCATTTGGCATTTAGTATTCATCCAATGTCTTTCCTATTGTCAGACAAAAGAGAAATCATTACCTACTTAAAGATCTATCAAAATGTTGATTACAACAGCGCAAGATTTGCTTAGGAGCAGATAGAATCCAGAAGGAGAGTCACATTTCTTCAAAGCAACACCTTGCAATACCTTCCTTCTGTATGCAAGATAGTCACAAGAAGGGAAATCCATGAAAATGTTCCAGAGCAAATCATGCTAAACTTCACATGCATTTTCTATAATACATGTGAGTGCCCAAGCCAAGAACTGCTGGTAGCAAAAATGGACAAGTCTCTTATTTTATTTTTAAACAGAAAGGGCTAACAAACTAGGAAACTTCTTTCCTCCCTATCACCATCCTCAACCTGGATTTTGATTTACTTACAACTTATACCCTGCAGGGCAGGGCAGGGAAAAAAAAAGAAAAGAAGAGAGAGGAGAAAAAAAATTGTTAAAAAAGCCTCACCAACATAGCTTCTCTAGAAAAAAGTACATACTGTTCATTATAAAACTCTTAGTTTGAACAGCCTGTTTATTAATAACATCACAAATTTGGCATTAGTATCTGCATCTCATCCTTCACTAGGCATCACCATATTTCCCTACTAGATTAGCCACAGACCATTCAACCCTTAATGCCTTGGAGGCTGCAGAGCAGCTGACACAGTTTTGCATTAAGTTGCTCACAAAAATGGAAGAAGGGAACAGTGTCCGTAATGTGTAAAACTTTGTAAAAAGAAAAGTACAAGAAAAGTACCTACCTTCATTTTTCCCTTTGTCCTTATAACGTATGAATTAAAATATTTAACACAATTTTACTATAAAAACAGCTTTGTTTACCTGATCTGCAATGTCAACTCTAGCTTTGTGATGGAGAAGAAAATCCACTGCAGATACATGATTCCTTGCAACAGCAAAATGCAGAGCAGTGCGTTTCAACTGAAAGAAGCAAAGTTTTGGTTGTCAGGTCCACAATAGGGCTCTTTTCACATACAGATAAAGAGGAATTCTGATTTCTCTGCTTATTAACAAATTTACCCTTGCATATTTCTCTGCAACAGCCAGTCCTTTTTTTTTTTTTTTTTTTTTTTTAAATACTCTGTATTTCTGGTTCATAGAATCACTAGGGTTGGAAGGGACTTTCAGAGATCATCTAGTCTAACCCTTCCTGCAAACGCAGGGTCACCTAAAGCACCCATCCAAGTACGTTTGCTTAGACAGAATTTAGATTTTTAAAAACTAAATTCAAATCTTAAAAGATTTATAGTAGAACCAGAACACTTTAGTTACTCTATGCAGCATAATAACCCCTTGTTCAAGTGTCTGAGTGGGATTAAGCAATCAGGCTCTGCATAGAAGGGATGCATGCAATATGAGAAACGTTCACATTTGCTGCTTTAAGGAATGAATTGATTTGAAAGAGAAGTGGCTTTCTGCAATTTGATTTGATTTTGCTGTCCTGCTTGCTTTTGACCATCTCTTCAGTGCATGATGAGGTTTTTATTTCATGCTACTAGTTGACTGTCCTTCCAAACTCACTGATTATTTAGGTAAATGAAGGTTTCTACCTTGCAAACACAGTTACTAATTTCATACTTATGAATAGGCTCAAGGCTGATCAGAAACACTTGATTAATTTTTCATTTAAGTAACTAAAGGTATGAATTCAAAATGGAGTGGTTAAACCACACTGAGCCTTAATGGAGACAGCTTCATTTACAATTAAAATAACCATAATTGGGTTTAACACGAATCACAGAAAGTTTCCATACAAGGATATAATGTGATCTAACCAATTACCTTCAAAAGTGAATTTGGATTTCTTTTCTCCAGCTCCCATACAGACTTATCCACATGCAAGGCTAAATTTACAGCTATACAAGTTAGAAGCATGAAAAGGTGGGATTGTCAAACTTATGCCAGAAAGCCTCTTAGCACTGAAGCAGTTGTATCAACAATTTCTCCTCTTGGCAGTTCAGCTTATTTTGCTTGGAAACACAGTGGCTGGAATAACTGACTTGAACAAAAGAACAGTTTTGCCAGTACAATCAATCAATATACCAGGCCCAAGCAGCTACACTGGCAAATCTCCGACAGGATAAATTTGATTTAAGGATGAGGAAGTAAAGATTCAAATTACTGAACTGCAACAGGATTTGGCTTAATTTTCTGTATTCTGGAAAGGAATAAGAGGCAAGAACTATTTTTAAGTGGGTTCTACTGTTACTTTACTATAGTACTTATAGTACTATATAATTGCTGAGAACACTATCTTTGTTCAAGGTAACTTTCCTTGAGAGCTTTTTATCTTCTTCCTTTTTACAAATAAACCAAGGAAAGTAATTGTACATTCTCCTCGACTCCCGGGGGGAAAAATGCACGTGGGCATGGGAAGCATTTTTTTCCAGAAGCCATGGTTAAGTAACACTGGGATGTTCACGCCTATATGATTTATACATAGCCATTGAGAGCAAGCTGTTCTCCATTTCTTGTAGCTCCTTGATTACATACCAGGACAACTGAATAGTTGTTGAACTGCCTCTGATGGGGAGCAGGGAACTGCACTTTGATACTTGTGAAATACATTTTTGGCAAATTTTAGGCCTAATGTCTAATTGTAGCAGCTTAAATTCATTCTTAAAGTGTCTGTGAGAGCAACTCCTCCCATTCTAAAAGATGAGGAAGTTGGGACAAAGAATTTCATCACCCAAGAGCACACAGGCACTGTGTACAAGGGCAAGGATCACTATTCAGAAGTCCTTAGCTCCCAATTTTATGCACGGACTAGTGCAAATTCAAAGGTCTGTGAGCTTTGCTGCAGGAAATCCTGCAGAGTCTAACTGGACCTGTGAAATATTGATTAATCAGCTTCTAGAGGGGCTTCTTAGCCTCACTGCCTTGCAGCTGATCACACCAGCTACCCCGGGATTCCACTACGCAACCCAACAGGAGTCAACATTGCAGACCACTGATCTGCCAGACGCTTCATACTCACAGTATCTACAGCATTTATGTTAATATTCTTTTTAAATAATTTTTCCATGGTTTCCAAATTGTTCATTTTAGCAGCATACTGAAATTCTCTCTCATCGGGCAATACTGTGAAAACATGACAAAAAGTTCACGTTACTAAAGAAATGGCGATAATAAGCTTAAGTGATTATACTGTTCTTACCTTGTTATTTGTACTGATTTAATGTTTTAAATGAATAATAGAATTGTTCCAGGATTGCATTTTTTTCCCAGTAGAGACATTTGGTCGATGTTTCTAGTTCCAAATTTTAAGCACAAATAAACTCCTCACAGCACAAAGCACCATTATCGCTCATGGTAACAAGAGTTCACTTCTGAAACTCCCCATCAAAACGTTTTAGGAATACGAGGGAACAGCATGAACAACACAGTCCATTCCACACTCTTGGAAAAAGTTGCTCTGTTTTACACCTGAATACATCACCAAAATGCATAACAATGTACAAATAAACAAATAATAATAAAAATAACAAATGGCACAATCCAGCGGAAATAGCATGAGATTTACAGGAAAAAATATTAGTTTCTGAACTTAAAATTTGACCACAATGGGTAATTTACTGTTTTGCTAAGACATTCCTCGAACGCCTCAACTCAAAACAGAGCATCTATTTGGTCAACTAAAGAAACTACAGCACATATTTGTACAGCTGTAACAAAACACATGTTTACTTAACTTTAGAAAAAGAAATTAAGAGTGTCTGATAACCAGTTTAGCTAGTCAGAGTAAGAGTCAGAGTATTTCTTGGTCTGCATGTTCTACCTTTACACACAGCACTTGGAGGAAATTAGGATATTAGCAAGAAAAGTTATCAGCTATTCTTAATTTACTAGCATATCACAGTCAAAAAAGTTGATCTTATCAACTTTATCTTATCTTTCAGATCAAAATATACTAGAGAAAAGATATCCAAGGATTCATTTACCCAGTGTTACCAGCAAAGAGGACAGCACTATCCACTGAACTAGAAACTGCACCAACTATTTATTCCTTAGAGAGATCTCACACGATTTCTGTGCTCCTGCATTCTGCCTAAGTTTATTAGCAGCTAATGAGAATACAGCTTGAGGCAGTACAACTGCAGAGCATATTAAAGAAAACCAGCATGGCATTCACTTAATTGCCCTTTGCACATTACTCATGATTATAATCTCAGCAGGAGTAATCACAGTTGTGCTGTAGAAAACAAGCTAAAAATTAAACTGGACAGTTCCAAAGCTATTCCCAGGCTTTCATATGACACTATCCATGTACCTCAAACAACAGAAGCATCCTCCCAAAACTCTGTTGAAATCAGAGAATATTAAGCCCATTAAACAGAACAGGAACCAAACACAAGCAAATAAGCAGCTGCAAACAAAAACAGAACATATACATTAAATATTTAGAAGGTAATACTGCTACAGCTGTGATTATTGTCTTAGCTTCCAATATTAAAGGCAATAAATATCCTGCTTTCCTTCAGATGACAGTCACCCAGCTTTCACCAAGATGACATGTTGTTAGAAAGAATGGTCACAGCAGATCAGATCAAAGGCCCATTTTCATGAATATCTTGCCTCCACCTATGGTTGATAGAAGATGTCTTGGGAAAAGCACAAGAATTTAATACAGTGGAATTTCCACAGAATGTTGTCCAGACTCATGCAAAAACTGTAACCAGCTACCACCACACATACGGAAAACTTCATTTCTACAAATTCTCCATGTCTAAAATACATTATTTACAAGCTTTCAAACAAACTGTATACAAATAGTGTTCCATAAAAGACATATCTGTGACAAGGAGCATGAGTGACTACAGAATCAGCAGTGTGAGCTATGATCTTTGCAAAACAGACGCCTCACTTGTAGTTTTCGTTGTCTACACCCATAACCCTGCCAGAGAATTCTACTGTCTTGGTGTCAAACATGGGTAAACCCATGGTCACAAGATACCTTATTCCAAGAAAAACTGTGAAATATGTGGAGAAAAACAAAACAAAAAACACAGAAACAAAATGTGGAGCACCAATTAGCTGTAATTGGGCCTAGTCACAATTACGGCACATGTATTCCCAGGATTTGTATAGGTAACTTGCATGAAGGTGCAAAGATAAACACGTGCAACTCAGGACAGTCAGGAGCAGTCCCAACAGATCCCTTGCACTGCCCTCAGGAAAGAAGAGAAATCCTTTACTTTACAGGAGAAATCCTGTACTTTACCTGCACTGGAGAGGACAGTTTTGCCACAGTTCTGAAAAGAAAATAATGATTGCTCTTCTCTTTCCTGTTCACAACGTGGACTGGAAGCACACAATTAGAAGGAAGACTTTGTGCTCAGGGTATGATGTATTCTGATTTCTCCCTTAATATGTCTTAACTCAAGAGGCAAGAACAGCAGCATTGCAGGCACACTGCCATGTTAACTTTCTGCACAACCCTTTCCTGCTTCTGCAGAACACTTTTGCCATGCATAAAGTTACAAAAGTATATGACTATCAGACCAAAGATTTAAGGAAGCTTTTGACCGCAGCCATGGTTTCCAGAACTTGGTGTTCTTTCCCTAATAGTGGTTGCTCAAGGAGCAGCCCCAACACATAATCCACTTGCAGCTGTTAATTTCTTTTGTTTTGTTTCCCCGTATACAAAATTTTGTATACATGTGGCTTTATGCAAAATTTTTGGCTCACTGATCTACAGATTTCAACACAATAATTATATTTTCTTTTCAGCTTTTCCTTTCAAGCTAATTAAAAAGTTATCAGTTGATTTCATCTGTAGACAGTTCTATGAGGAATACATAGCAGGATTTATGTGCGATGACTATCCTAACGTTTTTCCTCTCTTGAAAACACAAGAAAGTAAAAAGATGCAGAGAACTAAAACCGTTGAATCCTCCTAAACAGAAACTCAAACTTTGAAGTACTTCATTTTTTCTCCTTGTGCTTAACTGTTAGTTCAGTGCAAATGTCCCCAACCCACTATTCAGCGATACAACACATCAGAACTTCCACTGATGTCAAAACATGACCCAGATATTTTAGCATTGAAAAGATGGCATAAAAAAAAAAAGTTAAATTTTTTACCCATCTTGAATTTCCTCTTGTGGTATCTATAATATAAAGCCTGTCAATTTCTTGAGAAGAACACAGACTAAAAAAGGAATTTGGATGGAGTCTAGCTGGACGCTAGTTTCACTCTATTTCCTAAAGATTGAATCATAGTTAACATTTTTGATAACATTTTATCACCTTTCACGCATATCTACATTTTCATGCATGCTAAGGCATGAAAAAGACAACTAGGTCAAAGAGGTGATATCTTTAAGTCACGAGAATCTTCTTAAAAAACTATTATTTTCTGATTTAAAGCTGGCACAGGAAAGGTATATATTGAACCTTACACTGATATTTCATTCTCCTGTTTTTTTTCCGCTCTCATCATCCTTACTTTGCAGATCTGAAAACAGGAACCACAACCCAGTAGACCAGAGCTTGGCTATCACATTGAGATCACACGACACGGTCACGGTGTGGGTTAACAAGTCCATTCACTTGGCACAAGCAGCCCATGGGCACTATTTGCAGCCCACACCATAATGGACTGCTCTTCAACCTGATTTGCAAGATGAAATTTAGAGCCCACTATCACTGAGTCACAGCACCGACTTGACTGAGCAGAACTTCCTCCTGTTTTATTCTTTTGAGGACTAAGAGCCTGAACCAGCTGGGCTGTTTACACACACCAGTATGAAGTATGTGACTAACCCTAGTGAACACCCTCAGACAATTTCAGGATGGAAGCTGAAGTGCGTTACCGAGCAGTTTGCAGAACCAGGTTCTTGGAAAATGGACATGACAAAACCCTACTCCTGATTCCAGGTATAGCACAACTGTAATAATAAAGGTGCTACATGTACTCAATGATATTTTTTACTACATACACAACAGCTCATTGTTTGCTTTCTTTTGCTCACACTCCTTTTGATGACGCTGAAGCAGACTGGAGATTGAGACGGAGGGCAGCCTGGCCCCCTGCCCTCAGTGTGTTTGCTGCTTTGCTCCCGCATGGCCCCGTGCCTCTGGACAGGGCCTGTGGCTCCCCGTCCCCTTGTGCTAGCTGGAATCTCAGCCTGAGCCGGGATAAACAGTGTCCAAGGGCTGCAGCCTAAACCCAGCTCTGCCCACCTGGGTTCCTGCTTCCCCACTTATCTCCACAGGACACCTAAGCTCAACAGCAGGTCTCAGATGTCCCAGGAGCTTGGGGAGAGGCTGAGGGGCAGAGCTGCCGACCTGGGACTGATGGCTCACCTCCAAAACCCTCAGCTACCTCCCTCCATCCTGCCCAAGGCAGCCCACGAGACACAAAACGCCCCTGGGTGCTTCCAGCTATGCAATTCCTGGAGCAAGGCTGCGAGTCCCTAATCCAGGGCCCGGCGCTGCTCACTCACGGCTCTCATGGCTGGCTGCTGCGGCTGCGGGCCCCGCCGCCTCCCTGAGGCCCCACAGCTCCCTCAGCGCCTTCATCGCCACCTTCAGCTCCTCGTTCTCCCCTGAGGGAAAGGGCCTCCTGTGGCTGTGCTCAGGGAGGTGCTCAGCCCTTGCCTGGGGTGTGTTTTCCCTGTGGCTCTGAAAAACCGGTTCTAAGGTGGTGAGTTGAGCCAAGCGGAGCCAGGCAGCCTGTGGGCCCGGCCCCACACCCACAACACGGCCTTACACCTGCACATGGCCACAACAGCCTGCAGTGCCTTTAGGTACTGGCTTCAAAAGCCACTGGGGACTAAGGGAGAGCTTTTGGCACAGCCAGACAACATGCCATCCTCACACAGTCTACCCATAACACAGAGGAAATGAAGCTGTTAGCCTTGGGAGCAAACAGAAATTGGTGCATGCAAACACGTACATGGGCAAACCTGTTTCCTTCTGCAGCACTTCCCAGTCATTACAGAAACAAAAAGCACTTTTGAAAGAGATGCCACAAGAAAACCCATGTGTGCACACACCTGGATGCGTGGGCTCAGAGTGGACACTATAGCTTACATGGGCCCCTAGAACCAGGGAGCTACGTAAGGAATTGCAGGATAGTTACGGAGCTCTGTGCAGGCTGAGGTGTATTTTCTTGGAAACTCCACTTGGAGCTACCCTATCCTACATCAGTGTTCACTGGATCAGAGGAGGAGACTGCTTATGTGCCCCTTGCAAACCTGATTCACTCCTGGGATGCTAGACTAAGCTGCTTCTAGCATGGGCAGAAAAATACACCCATGTGGCATTACCAAGAGACACAGACAGTTTCCAGGCAAGAGATTCTTTTGTCTAAGTCCACTTGAAACTGATACGTTCTTCACCAAAGTTCAGTTTTAGTGAACTGACACCTTGAGACCTAAATAGGCCTCAAGATTAGATAACCATAATTCTCAGCTTATCTTGAAACTCCAACTCCACTACTACTTTCAGCTACTGAAAACAGCACTGCTACTTTGTTTTATGCAGGAAAATAATCACCTCAGATTATACAGTTGACTTCTCAATTTATTAGCACTCTAAATATTCATGGAAAGTTTAACCTGAAAGACTCAAAGTCGGTGAATGAAATGTGAATACAAAACTATTTGCTCAGATTCTGCTTAGAGTACATAAGTAGATTTTATATTTCTTTCTCCTTTCACCATTTCTAACACTGTCAGGCTGTGAATTCTTTACATGTGATACACCTAAGTTTCATAAGACAGTCTTTATCAACTGTACTCCAGTAGAGGAACTTTATTTAGCTGAAAAAAATCAGAGTGATAATAAACTCTGTGACAAGAACAACTAACCGATTTAGCTATCTAGAGATTGGCTTCTACTTGCTTCCTGTGAGTCAATTGTTCCAGCACATATTTAAGAGGAAGAGCTTTATTTTTGTACGGGGACCGAACATGTAACATACAGTCACTGTTTGCAGTATTAATGCTCCTTCCCCACATGAAAGACAAAGGCCAGCGTCAGAATTTAGATGCACTTCACACAACTGACACCAAAGGCATGACAGATTTGCAGCCTCAAACATAACCACAGCTGTAGCATGAACCTCAAAAACAGGAGCCTAGTTATATGTATAGCCTGGAAGCACCATCTAAGCTAAGCACCATCAGTTTTAAGTTCTACTATTCTATCTACTATTCTATAGTATTATTATTTCATAGTTTATTCCTCTTCTGTCAATCTACTTTTTAATACAGCTATTCTATGTACTCAAACTTCGCAAACGCCAACTTCTCTATACAACTCGCCACAACAGTGACTCTTTCAAAAGGCCTCAGCAACTTGCAAAGATTGATGCAGAAACTGTACCAGAGGACAGACCTTGAGACTACTGAACAGCTTCCTTGCTTGTCTTCACAGGTCCCTCTCCCTCAGGAACCACAACAACCAAGAATTTAGAGAATTTGTTAATACTGGAAAATAACATTAAGAACAATAAATACATAAGTAAATGCAAAAAGAAGAAAAAAAAGTGAAAGGAGACAAAAGCATGGCTAGAGTTAGAGGATTAAAGAAAGCAAACAAACAAAAATTTTTATAAAAGGAGTAGACACCAATATCATAGCAACAAATACTAGATTTTAGCAGCATTAAATTTTAATGAGAAGTATAAAATTCTGGAGAATTCTGAATTAAGAGACGTCTATATTGTTGGCCTGTGCAACTCTGGCACCCTCTAGTTGCTCTCTTCCCCACGTCCCCCTCTTCCATCGTTACAGCCAGACTAGCTGCTGCATCTTACCTTGAGAAGGCTCACTAGAACATTACGGAGAGGCCTCATCTCTACTGCTGCTGCTCTACAGCAAGGGAAATAACATATGGTAGAGATCATATAAAGCACCAGCTGGACAAAAAACAAGGGTATCTGCAGGCTGCTCCCTAGACTCTCTTGCAGGCAACATTACTGTTGATAACTACATTGATGCTTGGCTCTGCATGCTACAGCATAAGAGACAGAGAATGTTACAAACATGCTAGCAACAAGAAGTGACTGACAGAGCAACTGTAGCTCAAAATCTGCCCTGCTGAAGCTCTTACTTGGAGAATTACTATCACTTTATGCATTATGGTATTATATGCAAGCACATACATATACACTGAGAAAGAAATGCAAGACAGAAAATATTCACTTGCATAGATTTCTGTAAGAGCTGAGGAAATAAAACACGCCCCCCATAACAGAAAATAATGAAATCACTTAATTCTGTAGTGAAGACCTTCTTCAAATAAAATCGCTATCAAATGCTGTATAACAACTTAGAATAGAAAAATGCTTCCATTTCAAGCTGCAGTAAATATTTCGCATGGAAAAGATGAAAATTTCCAGGCATCTTCAGTAAATATGCAGAATCACTTTTCTAAAAGGTAAAAGCATTTTATACAAGTCTCAATACAAGCATTCCTGTCTTTGAGATAATACTCTAAGTTTTATTTCCATATTAATTCTACAAAACTTCACAATGTTCATTTTCAATACTCAAAGATCACTGTGACAACAAAGACAATAAAATAACTTCACAGGCCAAGACAGACTTATTTTATTTGTCCAGACATTTACAGTAGTTTTCTTTTTTCCTTTTTTAATTGCTAAGTTACATACAAATAAAAATATTAATTTTAAAGTAACACAACGATAATACTGAGATTTCACCTGTTTATTGAATAAGACCTTGTGTTAACATATGACAGTAAGGAACAGTCTGGCAACTGAAATAAGGATTTAATAGACAGCATACAGACAGATAGAGGCTAGTAATGAGACAGAGGTTCACTTTCTAAACAGCAGTGGCAACTCAAGCTATTGCTTCCCCAGTTGCTTTTACGTCTTTCCAAACCCCAAGTGTCCATTCCCCATGTCCATCAGCAGAACAGCACATGCTGCACGCTCACTGACCTGCTCTAGGCAAAGGACCTGAGCTGGATTACACTGCAGTCTGAACTAGCTCCGCTGCTCTGGCCCAAAGCAGATTAGGGAGCACTGGAATGAATGAAAGTGGCAGAGCTGTGGGCACAGGGGCTTCTGGCAAAGGAGCAGAAAGGAGGGTAATCTGGCTAATTCAGAAACAGAGAAGCAGATTCCGGACTTAATTTCCTTAAAGACTATGCAATTTAAAATGCAATTTATATTCAATCAAGGGCTTACAATTGTTGCATAACTTTAAGAAGTATGCGCCCATCATAAATTATTTGCTTGATAAATATTATAATATCTACATTTAAGTAATCTGGTATAGAGAGGAAAACATCTTAACAGAGTATTTTAAATATTTGCACTTCACAACTTTCCCCTTCCACACATGTACTCATAGTTAATTAAAAAATACAAAATATTTTCCAAAGAAAACATAAGTAATATAAAAAAGTTGCTTCATTGCAGCATCATGAATATTTACACATCATTATCATTGCACTGTAAGAATTTTTAGAGTGAATTTATTACCACTGAAAGGTGCCAACTTGACAGTTTCAAAGAAACCTGAAGTTCTCAATCTCTTTTGAAAGGCCAAGATCAAACAGCGCACACTGACACATTAGTGGAGGCCTCCTTTTCTCATTAACAGATTTACTGCATTTTTTTTAAACTGGTGAGATCAGTTTTTATCTCCCAAGACTGGGCCTGTCAGCGTTGGTGCATCACCTCCTATCAAAGTAACTTCCAGGGATTACAGCAGAAACTTGCCTGGGCTCTTAATTCTTGCTCTTCTCTTTTGAAACTTCAACATCAACAGGGGATTTTTTTGTTTGTTTGTTGCCTTTTTTTTTTGGCTCAGCTGATGAAACAAACCTTCATAGCAACTGAAACTGAGAAACTCACCTTTCTTTTACTCTACTGCAGTCAATACCACTGGGTATTGGCTGGGTGCAAGCTGGGGTTGGCTCATGTGCCTCACACGACACGGTGGCGACGGCCTTCACTAAGCGTGGCCCGGCACCCCGGCCAACAGCACCAGCACCGCTAGCCTGGCAGCTCAACCTCCCTGCCCCATGTAACAAACACTGCCAGCAACCCACGCAGTAACTGCACGTTTTCAATACAAACGATCAAAAACCGAGTGCTAACAAATGTTCTTTTTCAGAAAGAACTGAAAAAAATGGTATTATTCTCAAAAAAATATTACCTCAGTTGGCTTTACCTCAAACACCATATTCTTTTCATACAGGCACGCAATGACTTCTAAGAGGCAGGCATCTGACTCAAGCCCACCACTGATGCAGTCATTTAAAAAACATTACATAATTCTTCATAGAGAATACATTGCTACACAATCATTTAAAAAACATTTCAATTGTATGCTTGGAATTGCTTGACTTGGCCTTTTTGGATACTGACTGTGAAGTTGCAAGTCCAGACCTAAAGATAAAGAAAGAAAGGAGAAAAAAAAAAAAGAGGAAATTATATACAGCAGACTTTACAACATTGAATAACTTGATAGCTTTATTATTTTAAAATAAGAATTGTAATCCATTTCCAGAAAACCCTTACCTTTTTGTTCCTTGTG